ATTCACATATTAATGTCACATTAATGACTTTTCCAGTTGAGAATAACTGACCAGTGATTTTCATGTCTTTTGGAACAAACAAACACTTATACGTGATTTCTTTGAGTTTTTTCATCATAACATTTTCAATAAACATCCTACCCAAGTTCTGAGTGTGGAATTGGACTCAGCCACCCTTGATGACCCTTAGACAATGTCAGATTCAATACTTTTGCAGTTGTGGATAACTGACAAGTGAATTTCATGATTTCTGATACAAACAAACACTTATACGTGATTTCATTGTGTTTTTTCATCATAACATTTTCAATAAACATCCTACCCAAGTTCTGAGTGTGGAATTGGACTCAGCCACCCTTCATGACCCTTAGACAATGTCAGATTCAATACTTTTGCAGTTGTGGATAACTGACAAGTGAATTTCATGACTTTTGTTACAAACAGACACTTATGCGTGATTTCTTTGAGTTTTTTCATCATAACATTTTCAATAAACATCCTACCCAAGTTCTGAGTGTGGAATAGGACTCAGCCACCCTTGATGACCCTTAGACAATGTCACATTAATTCCTTTTCCAGTTGTGGATAACTGACAAGTGAATTTCATGATTTCTGGTACAAACAAACAAACACTTATACGTGATTTCATTGTGTTTTTTCATCATAACATTTTCATAAAACATCCTACCCAAGTTCTGAGTGTGGAATTGGACTCAGCCACCCTTGATTGCCCTTAGACAATGTCACATTAATTACTTTTCCAGTTGAGAATAACTGACCAGTGATTTTCATGTCTTTTGGAACAAACAAACACTTATACGTGATTTCATTGTGTTTTATCATATTAACTTATTAATTAAACATCATAGCCAAGTTTTGAATGTTCAGTTAGTCTCAGATACACTTGATCAACCGCATGATTAACTGCAGAAGTAATGGCCCATTCATTAATTTTGCATTTGGGATTATATGATGAGGCAACTTCATGTGATTTGCCTCAAAAATTCACATACACGTGAGTTGAACGTGATTCCAACCTCCAAAAGGTTGAAGTACATCCTTTTGTAATTAAATTTTCATCATGTGCCAAGGGGATTATTTGGGGTCCAGTATGATGAAATGGATATTATTGGATAGCCAAAGCGCTTAGCCAATCTAATGTTTGGCCCCATCACGTAGGGTGTATCTCTGACAATACATATAGTGACTTATGTACATGTGGGAGTACACATGTCGCGTTGTAGTGCCACATTGAATTGAGGTGTACTACATTACGTGAAACATAGTACAGTATGTAGTCTGTATTGGCAGACCTAGTCTATCCAAATTTTCTCATGCAGCAAGCCACACCAACCTGCGTGTAAATCTTGAATGCACTCAAACCCCACATCAACTCTAAACTTCCTGACTCAACTATGGCGATTAGTAAGAAGAAAAACAAACGCAACACCAAACGCACTGCCAACCTCAATCGCCGACCTGTTTCCGAACTGGATGCACGGTGTCTGGAATGGAAGCGACGGAGTCGAGCTCGAGCGGAAGGAGGCGCAAATGCGAGGGCTCTTGGTGCGGCAGGAACCAGTGGTGTCAATAATGACGCTCCACCCAATGAGGCTCAAATGGATGAGGAAAGTAAAACACCCTCTGTTGACGCGTTTGACATCGACAACCTCGTTCGTGACCCTGTCCCCAACGAGTTTCTTGATAACATCAATGTAGGCTTTGACGAAGGACGGCGTCAAAGAGAGGAGGAACAGTGGAAATTGAAAGACAATAGCATGTTTCCAGTTTACCTATCCTGTAAGGTCAAGACAAAGGAATGGGCTGATCCCTCGCTAGCACTGAAGGATTGGAAACCAATCTGTACTTGCCGGAAACAGACAAGAAAACTGGATGTACTGGACATCCTCAGTAAGTCAAGAACCTTATTTAATTCCCCTCTCCGAGCATTTTGGTTGGCTGACCTGCGTGAATAGTAATCACGCAGGGGTGATTAATATTCACGCATGTGGAATAGTAGTCACGCATGTGTTCTCACTGCGTGCCACACATGAGTGTGGCATGCAGGTAAGTGTGGTACACTTACCGTAATACTGACAGAAATAATCCCCTTCTGAACCTCCAGGTCAATCACAGGTAGAAATTGATTTTTGCTCCTGCTCACCTAATGACCAAGTCCGATTGCTGCAAGCAGGATACATAGGTGGAACTGCCCAAAGGCCACAAACAGCTATTTCACTTAGACTTGTGCGTATGTACCATGTGTTATGGAAATATTGCACACAACGGTATTCGCCTTTTAGTGAGGCCTGGAATGAAGTATTAGATCCGGCTTTTCCACTATTTGTTAATGGTGAAAACAAGCAAGTAATTATATCCCAATTGCCCATTTTAAATATTCAAACTGGTCAAAGACTGACGTGTAGGCAATGGCACAGGTCACTGAATGGAACCGGCAATTATCGCAGGCGGTTGATACATATTGAGCACTGTTAACTCTGGAGGCAAAAGCAACTGTGATAGCTTTGCAGCTGACCGTATTGGCCGAAATGGCATGCATCTGCCCTGCTTGTTTTGGGCCTGGAGTCTCTTCTTTACCTAACCGGGAGCCAGATGTTGTAGTATGTATGGATTGCAACTTCCAACATCGCCGCCACCTGGCTGCCAGTGTGGAGCGCACTGTCCCACCCACTCCGAGCATATTTATCCCCCCTGAAAGATTGGAATCAATGCGGAAAAAAATGGATTCCAATTTGCCTCGAGGAAAGAAAACTGCGGATGAAGAGATGGTAGTCAGTCACATCCTGTGTTTCTGTTTAACAAAGTAACACCCTTCTCTAACATTGAAAGAGCTTCACTTACAGGATCCATGTACCCAACAACACACTGCAGCCAACGATATCAGAGGGAAGAAGGACTGGAAAGGGAATGATGAAACAGGTATTGCAGGAATGGGATGCCGTCATGACCAAATATTAAGATTTATCAACATTGTACAAAGCGGAGAAAAGTCAGCACAATTTTTTTATATAATTCAGCAATTAATTGAAGGATTCATGTCTGCTCTACAATAGAGCTGTATATCCCCTCACACTGGTTGAATGGATACTCGAGACAACCACTCATCCTGGACAGGAACCACCGAGTAAAGATGGGCAAAAGGTAGCTGTATTGTACGACATTGGTTGCAACATTCGCAAAGGTATTGAGTTGGTAGGTCAATATTACACAAAAATAATTATCTAGTGATTGAGTATGCTTGGTTTGACCTTCCAGCGTAAACTTTTCACCGTATGTGATCATTTGGTAAGTCATTATCCTCAACTAAAGGAAGAGTAAGATCACACGGTGATTGTGGAGGTTCATTCTGTACTTTTACTATCTTATAATTACCAGCCAATATGTCTTCATTCCACAACTTGTAAGTGGCAAGTGTCATCTTCTCAAATGGTTTCTCAAGTAGCTGATCCGTCATTTTGCTCTGCAATGTGCGTTGAACCATGAGATGCACATCACCTGAGAATGCTCTTGCTGCAATTGTGAGATGCGGATTTGCAGTCTTTGGGTGACAATCACAGAGTCCAAATGGAGGCTGTAAGTGTTGAGCTTGTGGAGAGGCAATCTAGTCTCAATAATTGGTGAATAGGAGTACACAGGTAGAGCCGTACTTACTAACAAGCTGATTAAGGGATGAGGTCAAGCACATCTTAATCAGGTCACTTGATTGTGGGATCTTTGCTATGGGTTGAGGTTTCTCAGCCTTGATAGTCTCACGCACAAAAATTTCGAGGAGGTGCTTTTTGCCGGAGATGTGAAGCCAATCGTCACATGAGGAGGATTCAGTTTCATAATGTGCCTTGTCATTACGGGTTTGAGGATTCCAAGAGCACGCCATAAGGTGGTACTGAACCCCGTACCTTATGTTGATTATTTGTAACTGCAAATACAAAGAAAAGATGAAATATGAATTGTGTGAGGGTATTGATGCAGAGTTAAATAAAGAAAGGACCAACCTCGTTATCAATTTTCTCAATTTCCTTGATACCTTTGTTCTGGTTAGTGGTAGGAAGATCAGGTCCAAATTTTCCCCGTCCCATATCCTTTGCTACTTTTCCCAGATTAACATTCTCCTTGAAGATGGGTAAGTAGCGCTGAATTTCCTCATCTGACATCTTTACTGAGCCCTCATGCTGAACCGGAATTGAAGGTCCACATGCCATAGCACCAAGGATGTAGAAGAGGTCTTCATTGTATATATCCTTCTGGTAGGATGATAAGTTCGTCCAAAAATAACCAAGGTGCTGGTTGCGGTCACCAAATCCCTCACTTTGATTGCGAGCAGGCACTTGAGAAACACAAAAGTTTATTAGTTCTGGAATTTGGCCTAGTTTGATTTGACAATTAAAGCTTACTGTCCGTGAGTGTCGTGCTCTCAAGGCTGTACTTGAGGAAGGTTTGATAAATTGTCCTTTTGGTACGCACACTTGCTTCATGCCTGAAATGAATGGGATTTAGTGGTATCCAAATAAGGTCATCAAGTACTTGAGCGTGCAACTTACAAAAACTCATTCACAGTTTTCTCACTACAATGGGCCATCAGTGCGAAGAGTTTCTTTGTCCTTCGGTATTGCATCTGGATATTCTTGAGCTCGGTTTGAATGTCGGGTGGGAGACGATTAGATGTTTTGCGGTCCTTATCAGCAAGTAGTTCATCAATTGCTGCTTCATCAAGGTCACATCGCATGTAGTTATC